TACTTACTGTATCATTTAACATTCTCGATTATGGATGTTTTACATCATATGTAAATTATTGATTAGCTCAAAGAAAAAAGGGAAATATACTGTATGGCTGGGCTCACGCCAACTGATCGCCAAGTCGCCATGGGCGAAAACTATTTCAGATTGGCGAAAAAATAACCAACTTCCATACACATTTCAGCAAAGGCTTAAAATCATTTAAAAGTTTTAAATACTTGCTAAAATACATCGTTTATTTTTTTTTTCATTCGCGCCAACTCCATAGTCATGCGATGTTTATTTGTGTTGTTGTATTAGTAGTCCAGCTGCAAACGTTATTGCGTGCTTTGCAATTTATTATTTTAACTTGGTGGATGCAGGGCATTAGCAGTATAACGACGACTACATGAAGGTACTATATATTTACGACAACCGGCTAGCTGGTAGTGTACCCTTTGGGCGCAAACTGATGACGAGAGCATACCTAAAGGCAGCCAACCGTCAGGTACATTTTGGATTTTCCAACACAGGGCCTATCTAGGCCTATGGGATGGTGGTAGCAATCAATAATACTAAAATAACGTTTTGTGTTTTTCTCTGCCCGAAAGTATTTCAAGTACAATTATGATTTTCACATATAAGGCATTTCGTGGCGAAATGGTTAAGTTGTCGCAGAGGCCAGTATTGAGTAAATGAGCTATAAAATATGGGAGTTAAAAAAATTGCCTAAAAATCCAAATTTGTTTTTCATTAAAGATCAACAGTTTAATGTCTTATTAATCATGTACCAAAGTATTAGTTCTGGAAGTGGTCAACAAATTGTTTATTTAATGTTATTTTGATAGTTCATTCTATTTGACAATGTATGCACAAATAACTTTGAAAGGCAATAATCATGTTTATCTTGATTCTAAGAGTACTGTACTCTCACTTTCCAATAACTTGAAATGTCCAATTTCAATGAATGACCCCTCATTTTAAAGATCATATACTCAGGTATCTGAAAATACAATAACTTCAATTCATTTTTTGCCACAACATGCCTCATATGTTGTAGCTACAGTACCACCAACGGGACAAACATTCACTACATTACGACTTGATTTTGTTATCCTACATGTTTTTTTTGGCAAATTTAACACAATTTCTTGCTGATTACTTCCAAATCTCATAACTGCCGTGACGTCATTGTGCCACCCACCTATCTAATATGCATGTTACAAATCCCACCTGCACACATTCATAGACATATATTCAGAGACAACACCACAACACCGCATTCAAACAACGAACACGTCCGAGTTAACATGTTAACATGATTTTTTTCCGGTACCCTGACCGAGGCTTTAGTCAGCTTGGACGATTTTTAATGTATAAAACAATTTTCATCAAATTTTGGCTAAAGACAGATTCAATTGGCTAAAATTTGTTGACTTTAGCCAATTGGCAAACAAATAATGTTACAGTGAGCCCTATATATTAATTTATATCATAATGCAAAAAAAGTCAATTAGTGAAAGGGCATTGGGAAATACTTATTTAGTCTTCGTTTAAAATTCATTTACTTGGAAATATTTATTCTTAAATTTGTACTAAACATTAAGAGGTTCATTATCTCAGAGCTCAAGAAATCAAATATTGTGCCTCTTACAGATTGATATTTTGTAGTTGTAGTGGGAAAATGGAGAAATTTGGAAGCAGATACTGTAGATCAGATTTCCATATTAAGGTAAGTAAAATTTATTGCCTTCTACAGTATCAACCAATTTCCCTTACATGTCTGACATGTAAATTCATGAAATACATTAATGTAGTCACATCCAATTATTAGCAATCTCATCAGAGAACAAAATACTATAGCTTCAGATAGTGCCTTCTAACAGTAACTAAGCTCATCAATTCAACCATTATAACTATACAAAAAAATGTGAATGAGAAGGTGCAAGCTATTATACTAATACACAATATAATACAAAAATATTTTATTGCAATTTAAGAAAATAAAATTCCTTCTACCAGAATTGGTGTATTTCGCACAAAGTTATTATAATATACAATAAAACAAAAACAAATAACATTTATCAAAAGTAGGGTGAAAACGATACTTTACCAATTTTATGCAAACCTGCATTAACAATGACAATGTTTTTCATTTGCTAGCATTGTGGTAGGAACATGGAGGCAATCTCAATAAGGAAACAAAAACAGAGGATGAACAGAGACGATGGTGCATACAAGCTTTCCCACATCTATATAACACATCATTCAACCTGAAAAGCTGGGGGGCCCCCTAGAACCAATCCTGACACGAAGAGAGTTGGCACCAGAGGGCGTTGGTCACACAATGCCCAAACAACAGATGCCAGCTCACATAGACTGACAAAGTCATGTTGATAACTTAGACGAAAGCTCGCAGTAAGTTTACATCAAATTATGCTTGGTTTACTATTGATTAAACAGTTCTACAATTATAAGAACATTGTTTTCCAGGCATTAAGAAGTAATCTGGCTTTGGTCGCTGCTGGTTTTAGTTAAGACCCATAAAGCACAAAAATCACTTTTGGAGATTTACGCAATTTTGCACAACGAAGCCGAGATGATCGCGATTTCGTGAAAGTAAATCAATACCGCTCTACGCTAATATAAACAAACAAATAGTGAAATTACACAAATCAGTAGTGATGTTGGTAGTCTATGAATGGATACTTACCTGGATAAACCGAATAATTGCCCTATTCTTTCTCAAACATGAGAACACCCCTCAAAAACAAACTGGAACAGTCGGCCCTGGCGCCAAGCACAAGCGACCTCGCAACAATGCTTCTTCCTCATTCTTTTTCGATAGATCGATAGGAATTCTATACCTCGATTTACGTGTGATTTTGGATTGTTTATTATCAGGATTTTATCTATTTGGATTCATAGAGATGTCTAAGTCAGAGTGTTCTCGCTGGTGTGAAATTTGTGTAATGTGGCCGCTGTCTCGATTCAAATAAATAGTGAAATACTTATGGTCCAGACTGAATATAGTGTTAAAATTGTTAGTACATGTCGGTAATTACCCCATCAATCGGATTCTGTTAAAAAACCTTAAACACGGAGATCTCGGTCAAGTGTTGCGTTACCAAAAACAAAAATCTCCGTGCTTGGCGGGCAGAGTGTTAATAGTGATACCTTTAGCATTGATTTTGTCTAGTGACTGCCTGAGAATGTAAATGACTGACAAACAGATATGGGGGCAAGAGTGTCCCCTTGAAGTATTCCTTTCTTGGTTGTCAATTGATCAGGACCATCTGATATCTCGACATAGCTGGTAAGATTCTCATGCATTATTGCGATGGCCTTGATAAAATCTGGGGGGATGCCGTACATATAAGAATATGAAGCATTACTTTCCTGTTGACAGAGTCAAATGCTTTTCTAATATCCACAAAAATATATGTGGCCTTCTTTCCAGATCTTGATTACCTCCATTAATTTCCTAATTGCCAAGATATGTGGTAGAGTGGAACAACCTTTTCTGAAACCATTCTGGTTTCTTCTGAGGATTGGTTCTACATATGCTTGGAAAGGCGATTAAGAAGAAGAGAACTATAGATATTTTCAGCGATTGGTACAAGGGAGATGCCACAACAGTTTTCAGAATTTATGACAGGACGGTTGAATAGATCAAAAAATTCTGCGAGTAGATGACCATTAAAATTAGTGAAATAGCTGAAGGTAAAAAGAGCATCTTCAGGACTAAGTTTGGCACTGAAGTCTACTGCGATAACATATGCATTCCCCCCACCCCCAGTGATTGCCGACCAGCAGTGGTGACATGCTGTTGAGAACCCTGGATAAAGAAGTACTATCCCTCATGACATATACCCATATACTCCTCTAATGATCCCCTCTCCATTTTTGTAAATTCTTGCCTAAGTCAATGGCCAAGTTGCAAATTATGATTGAAAACCGGTTGTATTATACAGCCGGCATTAATAAATTAGCCATTATTTATTTCTTGCATGTATAAAGGAAATTTAATCAGGACATTACCCTTACAACAGGCTCATCCAGCAAGCAAGCTAAACCCCTCTTAGAAGCCTATGGTTTAAACAGGGTTGACCTAGATTAGTAGGAATACCTTCATAAAATTAACATGAATTTATGATTGTTTTTCTTATTTTACCTTTTTTAAACTATGTTTTAAAGTGTTATGTTAAATAAATTAAATACACATCGCCCTATCCTAGACACCAGTCACTTTCTCTTTTGACAATAAGAACATTATCTTGATAGGAATCATAAAATCAGTAACATCGTTGCATTTAAGAGGGTTAAGCACAGTTCAACTTGTCAATGTGTGTAAAATCCAAAAAGATGCTGTCAATAATTCTACAGTAACTGTACATTGAAATTTCTATCAGGTCAACAAAAATAACATATTTCCAACACAATATTTTGCACTTCATCCTTTTTTAATAAGAAAATCTTAATATCATAATTTGTTGTATTTTCACTTACTCCGCTACAAATGGAATATCAACAACAGAGAAAGCTTTTAAATTGATGATGACAGTTTTTGAACTAGAGAATCTCAATTTAACAATTATCTTACAATACTGCATGCATATGATTATCAGATTTTAAAAAGCTTATACAATGTGCTGAACTTCAATTGAAAGTAGAATTTGTTTGAAGTGTTAATTTGATGCAATTCAGCTATTTTTGCTGGCAATCCAAAACTGAATAAAATTAAAATTGAAAATTCTTCAAACCAGAAAATCATACAATAATTGCTTAATATTTAGTAAATAACGTAACTAACTCTACTTGTAATTATTTCAAGATTGGAAATTGATTTAATGTATGACCATTAATTTTTCATTGGAATAAGGATTTAGTTCCGCATTCTAAATTTTTGTACCCTCCAACTCATCTATTGAGACTTACAGGATGTCTTAAAATCTACCCATCTATTGAAACTTCCATATGGTGATAGGTTATGACGCAGTGCATTTCATCCCACTTACCTTTATTTGATCCACAGCACTACATCGACGAATATTATTCTTGATTACCGGCACCAATCTATTCGCTTGCATCATCACTGATAAATCCGTAAGAACATATCTAAATAAGATGGTAATACATAAATAGTGATAAATGGAAAGAGGTATGAAATCAAGTTGCATAGTAGACATGGAGCAAATCTCTCAAATTTATTTAAACTATGATGCTATGGCAACAAAATATAAATTGGATAGCTGTGGTCACAAAGTGATAATTTGACAGGGGAAGACTTTGAAAGGTTGGCTTCATGGTTATTAAAATCTTCCAACTAAAAGTAAGCCAAGCCTCCAAGATTAACATTGGAATTATAAGGTTAAAACAACTTTGCCTTTGGCATCTGCGGTAAATATCATTAATAGTGAACAATAAAAAAAAATAAGAAAATCAAAAGCAAGATTTTAGTAATAAATAATTTTTTTTAGTTTGGAAATCTGATGGGTAAATTTATATTTTGATTCTATTGTTTTTTGGGGGGGCTTTTTTGGCATAATTATTTCTTAAACTTCATATATTTTTAACTTGATTTTCTGATTATTACAGTAAAATGAAATTGGTTTATCAATTTTAATAAGAATCTTCTACTGTAACCAATTTCAGTATACTAACATCTTAATACATTTTATATTAGTGCATTATCATTTATATAATTATAGTTATACAAAATATTAAGGTAAAAGGTGAATAAATAACATAAATAACATGTGTGTTTCAAAAACTTAGTGGGAGATGGAGATGGAGAAATAAGACAGAAAATGAGGTTCTGAACTCAACATTTACGGTATTCCATAATGTAAGGGAGGCACATGTGAAAGTACATTTTCTGTCAAGAGAATTCTGGATGTTTAGTGAATGAATTCACTAAAATTTTCTGAAGAGCAATTGGATACCAGGACTAGTATAATTACCAAACAATATTATAGAGAGCTTTTTGGTCATTGGCATTAGTTTTGATAAGATCATATCTAACATAAAACTGATGACAAACTTGTTGATCTTATACTGAAGTGTTTGACAATGGACCTCAATAGTTAGCATGGTATACTGCTTCAGCAATTCTCTGATGATTTCAGGGGTCATGCATTTACACTCAGGATGAATGATAATGTTTGTCAAGAAGCTCAGAAAGCATGTTATAAAAAGACAACAGTATGAAGACTATGAAGTGGTAGTGAAGATACAAGCTGAGATTGGATGTCAGTGTATCGACAGATTATACTGAAAGCAATGGTAAGCAACCACTTTGGTTTTAGGGTGTGGTTTGGATAAGGTAATATAGGATTTCAGGATCAAAAGTGCCACCATGTGGTCACCAAGTACTGATGAATGACCCTTATGTTGAATTACTGAAAAGGACACCAAAAGAAGTCATAAATTCAACTTAATGAAAATTAAAGTTGCTACAGATTATAGAATGATTGCAACCAGTTCTTAATTATTCAAGGAAACAGAATTAATTAACAGACTAGATAAAATTAAGTTTATTCTTCAAGTTGGGAGAATATGATATATGGTGATGACTTTCAGAGAAACTCCATTGACATTGACACCACCTCTGCTGCCTCAAATGAACTGAATATTAAAACAGGCTTCCATGATGACATTTTGAAAGCTGGCTTAATATGATTGTAATACCACCATGAGAAATAGGCTTACCCTTACTAGGTAAGTGCCTACAAGGGTGGTTATAAAACAAATAACCGTCAGGAGCACATTCCCCAAGGCTAATCACCAATATTCTCGTTCAGCCAAGTTCCAGTGATAAAACTATACCAAGATGATAATCAGTAATGAATTATGAAACATCTGCAGCCCTATTGCATTTGGAGTGAGCATTTAAATTAAACAATTGTGGAATACCTATCTTTTCTATCTCACTCTACCCACTAATTGTATACTCCATGCTCTACCTATCTATTAATTCCAAGAATGCAATTGTTCTCCATGTTGAAGGAGGGCTAAGCCTGTTGTTAGCCTGACTAAACTGAATAAGTTCAAAGGCAGGTGAGTGATGACCAGCCCAAGACATTTGTTCTCCTAAAGACTAATGCAAATGAGCAAGAAACAGCAAATTACAAGCACAAGCAAGGGCTATAAGAAGGGGCATAGGAAAGACCAAGCAAAATGTATTTGGGCCTAGTATTTGATACAAAAGTTTGGGCAAAAATTGGTTGGGGAGCAATTTCTCCGTTTCTTTTAGTGAGGATTACTCGCATTGTAATTTTGTGACTGCAGACTGTAACGATCTCAATATGGATGATATAAAAGTGTGCCATATAAATATCCAATTGAAAGTAAGCAAGCATGATAAAAAAAAACTTGAATGAGTTTCACTTCAATGTCTAGTATTTCTCTTAAATTAGCCTGAAGATTGATTGTAAAATGTTATATTTTTTATGGTGTCCAACAGCAGAAATTTGCATGTAGTGTAGACATTTTGCAGTCTTCTTTTGGACTCTCCAGCTTAGTCAAGCCATTATTAGCCTTGCCATCACTCTCTTCCAATTCAGCCTCTCACAGTCACTGCTCTAAGTATTACAGTAATAATTTTTGGAAAAAAAATCTACGAGTGATGTAGGTGCAGAACAAATACTATATTATCTAATTCACCAAATGCTCACAATACAGACTAATAAATAAATAGTTACTAGTAGGTATAAATCGCCAAGAGTTGATATAGTGGTATGGAAAAACAATGCATTTTTAATTATGCTGCATTATTTACACATCAAAGAAGGGAGCATTATCCTCTAATAGGTAGGCCTAGATGATTTTAAACACTTTTGATAAGTATGAGAAAATCGATTTGTATAACATACAACATTAAGTACCATGGGTTGGATCTGGACAAGGGCTTCAGTCATTCATGCGTCATACATAATCAACTCCCTGTGTACCGTACATAGGGCGACTTGGGTAACCATTCAAGGAAGCTATAATTACGACCAGATGAATTGTTATAGTAAAATACAACAAACATAATAATAAAACACATGGATATAGATAGTCATCTTACCAATACATAGTCAATAACGTTCGAAATCACATCAAAGCCATTGTATAAAGATGCGCGCAATCTCTATCTCATAACAGATGCAGTACATGCTTACTGGTTCAAGGGTTTGATGAAGTGTCAAGACGTATGTAAATACTGCGATGAAAGAGGGCGCTAGGCATGTATGATAAAATTGCTGAGAGTGAAGTATCAGTCATGTGGTAGAATAATGAAAATTTAAATTCCAGATTTGGATTGCTTAATTTGTGTATTTACGTAAGTTATTATTTAAAATTTTAAATTGTAATTTTTCAAAAAAATCGCCGTCAATATTTGGATAGTTAAATAATAACCTGTATTCTTTAGCATAGGTATATATTTGACTGATAATTAATTTAGGATTTTTGTAGTAAAATGCCAATACAGGTCTCTCTCTAATTAAAAATCCCTCCAATATAGGACCACCTCCTATTAAAGACCAATTTTCTGTGGTCCCAAATGAACAACTGTCTTTTATTTTTATTATTCTAATTAGAGACCAAAGCTGCTAAAGACCATGTAAACCCAGGTCCCAAATGTGGAATTTTTAATTGGAGGGAGACATGTAATTTTAATTGGATTCTTTCAAATGAGCAATTGAAATTTTTTTTTTCATTTTTTTTTAATAGTTATTTTAGACCCTAAAGAAAATAGAAGCACTAGGAGCCATTATTTCCTTTAGCCCTGCGGGCTTCAGGCAATTTTTTCAGAAAATAATGTATAAAAATAATTTTGTATAAGATTTTTTGTATAAGATTTTCCTCAGAATTTGAGTCGAGTTGATATGGGGCCGGGTTGACTTGGAGGACAAGTTGATCTTATGGATATTCATAACTTTCTCTCTAATCACAATTTCTAAATTCTTTTACGTTTTATATTCATTATTATTATTATGAATCTAGCATATAATTATGCAAAGTATACTAATAACGTACACATCTACAAAAAAACCAAAGAAATAACTACGAATCGTTGGTGGCGGTAATCAAGCGAAATTGGTAGACAACACCAAGGGCCTAGGATCTGAAATTCAATAAGCAGGTTTGACTGCCTTTTTCGCCTTTTTGTTTTCTTAATCGTTTGTTGCTACTAAAAAGAGTTATTAGTATCTCCTGGTAAGTTGATCAAACTTGGTAATTTATGACATTTTACTAGTTTTGTATGATAGTGATGAAAAAGCCAAGGCAGTCGATTTTTTTTTTTTTTTATGCCTAGGCTGGGCTAGAGCCCGGGGCCTAGGCAGACCAAGGCAATTCAGTTTGCCTGGACCTACCTAGTCCTAGGTTTGGCTTAGGGCCTACCTAGAGTATGTAGGCCTAGGTATAGATTAGTGGACTAGTAGAGTAGTAGGCTCAGCTACGCATAGATGCTAGGCCTATTCTAGCCTAGGCTAGGTAAGCTAGAATCAGCAGGGCAGGAGGTGGTGGATAATTATTAATTGGGAGGTGTGTTAGTGCTGTCCTAAGGGCAAATAGAAAATATTATAATAGGCCTAGATTATCACTCTTTTTTGAAAAAAATGATGAGGACGGGAGATACCTGAGGATTATTCCTGTGTGCATGAACAGAGCGAAATTGACATCGTTTTTTGAGGTGGCAGATGCATTTAAACAACTGCCCTAGGCATGGCCTACTAACGAATGCGATTAAATGGCATATCCAAAACAATATTCTGCTGAAGAAGCAGACATTACTCGAGCATCAAAGGAAAGAGAACACCCTAATAATCATAGTTAGTAGGCATAGGCGCCGAGGCTTTTGCCTTACCTTGAGCTAGGCCAGCCTTTGCCTAAACTTTCTTGATGTCATAGGTTATTTTTTGCCCAACAACAACAACCAATCCTACTAATCACACCCATCGCAAAAATAAGACCGCCCACTTAAATCATGATGGAAACGAGTTCTTTTTAGCAGCAAGAGTATCTGTGGAACATGGGAGCTGTGAGTCAACGATCTGATCTGCCCACCAGGCGGGTCTTTTTAGGGGCGGACCATGGTATTTTCTATTTTTAGCCGAAGCTGTGGAACACGTGAGTCTTCACACTGTGAATTTACGACCCGATGAGCCCAATCTCTCTAGGGACTGCGGTGTTGTCTTTTTTTAGCCACAGTTAGCGAGTTGTTTTTTTAATATTTTTAGCAACATTAAACAAGTTTAAAGAATGGGCTTTGAATTCAAATTTACAGTGACCAATGTCTAATCTAATCAATTGGAGCCAATTCCTTTATATTTTGTGAGCATCTGCTTTTTGCAAAAATTTTTTTTTATGCAGTATTAAAATAAATGATGTGGCTAAAAAAAAAGTAAAGGTAAAGCCTAGGCATAAATGTATTTGAATAAATTGTATTTTTTTTATAATTCCAGGATATTTCAAACAAAATGATGGATTACAAAGTAACAAAAATCTTAGATGACAAGGGTGATATGAGAGACTGTATAGAATTGGTCCGTAAAAAGGCTGATGTTGTTCCGGCAAAGATGAAAACTAAAACTGGTATTTTTGGGTTGCGTCTCCAAGGCAATGAGCTCACTGAGCTACCTGACTGGCTGGAAAAGTTTAAAAATGTTCAAGAATTGAATTTATCGGAAAACAAGTTTGAAAAGTTTCCGCTTGTCATTGGTGATATGGATGCCATAAAGATCCTTAAGATGTCAAGCAACAGTCTTTCATCGCTCCCCCGAGATCTCATTTACCTCCGGAAGTTAGAAGAGCTTTACCTTGATTATAATGACTTTGAAGAAATCCCTGAAATTATTTTTGACACAAATATAAAGGAGCTATACATCCGGAATAATAAGATTCGTCATATTCCTGCAGGAATCTCAAAAATGAAATCTCTTGAGGTACTAGTCGTGGATAATAATCAGTTAGAGGAATTTCCTGAAGCATTAGCAGAGATGCCAAACCTCAGAGAAGTATTCATAAAGAAGAATCAGATTGAAAAGTTACCTAAGGGCCTTCTTGCAAAAATGAGCAAGCTAGAGGTTCTGGAGCTTGATGAGAATCCTCTGGAATCACCTCCTCACGAGATTGTGATGAATGGCATAAAAGCAATGGTGAAATATGAAAAGGAGCAGGAGAATGAATAATCCTGCTTTTGTGAATAGGTTTTCTAAATTACAGTGTGTATGGAGGTCATACAATTAATTAATAGAATTTTAAAAGGTTGTTGAAACTATGTGTAGCTTTGTATACGTTAGCAATCCATTTGAATCAGCTGTGTATTCAATATGCTTCATCATGTATTATTGCTCATATATTTGACAAGTTAATAACTGTTGCTACTGTACTCCTACTACCTTATTTAGTCCTGCTACTATTATGACCACACATTATTGGTAGTACCTGTAGTACATTGACCACTACCGGTATGTCTATCTATGGTAGTACCATGACTGCACTATGTATATTATTGGTAGTACCTATCACTGTAGTACCATGACCACAATATCTATTTATTATTGGTAGTACCATGACCACTGTATTTATTTATTATTGGTAGTACCATGACCACTACCTATTTACAGGTAGTACCATGACCAATCCATCTAATATTGGTAGTACCTTCACCACTATGTCTACTGGCAGTACCATGACCACTATACTTATTTTTTTTGTAGTACCATGACCACTAAATCTACTTATCACTGTAGTACCATGACCTCTATATCTGTTTATTATTGGTAGTACCATGGAGGAATACCATGACCACTAAGTTTACCTATCACTGGTAGTACCATGACCACTAAAGTCTACCTCTCACTGTAGTACCATGACCTCTCTGTTATTGGTAGTACCATGGCCACTAGGACTACCTATTAGTTGGTAGTACTGTACCAAGACACTGCAACATCAGATGTACAATAATTATAAATTATACTTAATAACATAATTAATATAAATAGTACAGTTTGACCTTAGACCTACTAACTTAAGTGACTGACCTTTCATACATAGAATTTGGCTATAGTAATTTTGCACATAATTATTAATTATATCAACTGACTATTTGCTATTGTGTATACCTATTTTTTAATAAAATTTATTGTGCCACATTGTTCAAAATTAATCAAAAAGATAGGTATTACAACCTCATTACTTTTATGGAGAAGAGAGAGATAAATAATACATGCTGTACCTGGCATTTCTTAGTGGTCATTGATCGATATGTAATTAGTTGAAGTCACACTGTACAAAAGTTCTTTTAAGATGTTAATTAACATTTTAGACTGACTGTACAGTATTTCATGAGGCTTAACAATCAGAGTAATATAAGATAGTATAATACATACTCCAAGTATTGAAATGCACGCAATCATGTTGGGATTCAATATTTCGACATTATGTCATCATTTTGGAATATAACAATCGCAAAACACAAACTTAATATTTTCACCTAGTACCTTCCTAATTAAAACACACCAAATATTTTCTGTTCTTTTTCATCTTTTTGTAAGGTGTGTCAGTACATTGTGTGGCACCTGAAAGACCCCAGCCAACGCTCTTGTAATGATATGCTTCATTGGTTTTCTAAAGACACAGTAGGCGTTTACAAATCTCTTGGTTCACCTTTTGTGTTACAATATAATAAACCTAGTGATTTATTTTTAAAATGATTATGTTAGATTATATTTACTTTACAACATATAATTCTAAGAGTCTATACCATATATTATATATCTCGGACATTTGTATTTAACTGCCTTTAAAATAACATACAGAAAACATCATTCCCTTATTTAATAAGGATGATTTACTTAGGAAACCTTATGATAAATTGTAACCAACAGATGTAAAGGTGTGTAAGAAATGTTGCACTTTTTAATAAATTGTCAGGTAATTAGCTTACTATAATGGGAGATTTGTCTGCTATAGGAGTGGTTTAATGTATAAGAAATAAATTTTTAAATAATTAGTATTTCTTCACTGCCAACTGGTACAGTAATTTTACTACAGTTTGATGTCAGTAATCATATGCGTTTGCTCACAGTAATCACAATAATTACATCTCATGAGTTGCTCATAATAATCATGACTTGCGTGAATGCACATGATTTTGTGAAACAATTTTTTTATTGACACAAAATATTGTTGACAAAATTAATTTTTAGAATTTACATATTTTTGCTTGTGCGCTGTTTAAAAGCTGTTTTTTAAATACACTTCTCATATTTCCCATTTTTGTTTGCCATAGTTAACTGTAGATTTAGATAATTTATAGTTTAGTTCTACTTGTCCATTATTATTATTTTTACATTTTATGTATATTAGGTACATATAATTTATATCAGATATTTCATACAAATAGTACTGTAGCTGTATTTGTTTTTGCAGTAATATTATTTCAATTTAAATACTGTATGTATTGACAATATGGTTTTAAAAACATTCTTGAAAGGGAACCCTTAGTTCGAAGGGAAAAGTCATGGAATTCGCTACTGAATATCATGAGATACTGTAGATGTATAGTAGTAAATACTGAAAACAAATACCTTGATTAATTCATTGTTCATGATGTTTATGAGAATTCTATTTTTAAACTTATAAATAAATTATATTGTAATACTTAAAATTATACAAAAAATATATTTACAAATATATGATTATTGATTTAATTCCTGGTATATTACTCTTATTATAGGAAAGAAATATAATTGTTTTGAAGAATTATCTTTCATTAATGCTTAGACAATATGCTTGTCCCAGATTAATGGGCATACTGTAATGAAAAAAATGTACTTTTAAATTTCTTCACTTTTACATAGTTTATTTATCAATTTATATTAATGAAACCTTGTTATTACCAGTGTTATAAAAAATAAGCATATATAGTGTGTGTTAATATATCCAACTCATTGATCATATGTCTTTAATGCATATGCTTATCATGCATAATATTTATTACTGCAAACACCTTAAATCATATTGGACTTTGTCTTTGGTAAGCATTGCTCAATTTTAAACTGATTTTGTAAAGAGAATACTAATTTGAAACATGGAGACAATTATTCCCCATCATTGAAATATTGATATTTTGCTTTTGTTAGAGTCTATCGAGTGTTTTAAACCTTGTTTCAATGTCATTCATGTGAAATAATTGTTGGTTTAATAAAATGTCTTGTGGGAAGAATGTTTTTGCTCTTTTCAATTACGTGATAATTTCTCATACCTGTAACACTTAATCATCATTTTATAGATTTTAAATGGTCTTGATATGATGTCATCGCAACAGTGACAAAATGAAAGTATTGAAGATGGTTGCAAGTTGAATTTACAGGTACACTAGTCAATTTTGCTTTCATTACAGTACATCAATTGATTCTGTGTACTGTGTACATAACAAAAATATACAGAAAATAATAATAAATTTTATGTCTACTGGTAGATTGCAATTGCTACCTAGTACTCAAGAAAACAGGATCAGATTGAAAATGCAAATTTAATTTAAAAATCTGTTATTTTCAACAATTATTTTTTAAAAATACATTAAAAAAAATTGTCTTTGAACCTCAAGAAAACATGTCATTATCATTGGTCTGTTGCTTATGAAGTCACATGCACTGAGAGAGACTCATTTACATAACAGTATAGTCTAAAATAAGATGCCTTGACAACATAGCTAATTAAATACCATACTATAGTCACATTTGATGAGGCTCATTTACACAAAAGATTATACAGTATATCAAAATACTTAGTAATAAAATAATTGATCTACATATTGAACACAGAAAATAAAAACTAACTTATAATTTGTAGCGGGAAAATTTCAGTAAATGTTCATACTTCATATCCAAAATTTTCAAGTTAGATGATATTCAATTCAATTCAGTAATCATTTACTTGGTACTCTCAAACAACAAAAGTGAACAAGGAGCACACAAAAGAAAACTTGTCATTATGATTGGACAGTTATTTCATGGGTTTTTAAGTTGTACCACTACATGGTAGTCATAACTGTACTTATGATTACATTAGGACATTAAACAAATTCCTTTAGGCATAGTACATGTTTCGGAAAAGCCATAAATAGCCCAGTATTTCAACCCCCACCAGGACTTGCACTTAGACTCCACTAGTGTCTGTCAGTATAAATGTATAGACCTTATCAAAAATAGGCATATTGCTTGCTTCCATTAGTGTTTATTTGGTGACAATGAATCCACAGATTATGAAATGAAGCTGAATGGAAATAGTAACAGTTCCATCAATCAGAGGCACAAGTGGGTGTTGGATTATCATAAGCCAGGATTAAATCTGCCGTACATTAGAGGATTGTTTGTAGAGCTAATTGTATATTATTCTTTTTTTAGAATTAATATGACAACTGAAAACAATTCCGACAATTTGCAATACCATTATTGATTTTTTGATTAATTTGCTATATGATATTTTGTTCGATTTTATTAACATTAAATGTAAATATTTTGACATTTCATGCTATGGCTTATATTATTTTATAAACATCCAATATGGTTCAATCAACCAATCAACATGGATTTCTACAGTATAGTGCCAATAGCCATTGGCGCTATGATATTGGTATTACCGTATACTCGCGTATAAGGCAACCCATTTATACCAAAAAACTGTAGGCACTTAACCGTCTCAACTGGTCTCTCTTAAATTTCTAGGAGTTTTTATTTTTTCTATAATCGATTATCATCTCTTTTGCTTTAGAGACATTTAAGATCATGTTGTTCATTTGACACCAAAAAATTACATTCTCAATTTGACAACTGCGGTTACTTTCATCATTTCCATCAATTAAACCAACTACTGTGGTATCATCAGCAAATTCATAACTAAACAATAATTAAAAATTTAATTACAAGTAAAAAGCATGAAGAGGAAAGAAAGGTGATTTCACAAATCTGTGGGACCCCAGTATTTAACACCCATGATTCTGAAAGAGCTACCAAGTTATCCTTGTGGTGGTGTTACATGATGACACCTTTTAACTAATTGCATTGCACAACCATATTTTAACCTTCTGGTGGTGTTACTTAAGGACACCTTTTAAATAATTGCATTGCATAACCACATGGAAGTTTCTATCAAGATGTCTGAGCATGGTCTGAGCACACATGTATTGTGATGGCAACGGTATTATCAGTTAATCTGTTTTCTTTATAGGCAAACTGGTACGGATTCGGATTCAACAGTCCTAGTAGGCATACTGATTTTTAAAAATTAGGAAATTTTTTTTTTTTAGTGATTCCAATAGTGTATGCATTGGAATTGGGACAATAGTGGAATGTTTGAAGCATCTCGGAACAATTTGTAATCTTAAGACCAGTTAAATATATTTGTAAAAATAGCCAATTGTGTGCAGCAGTGTTTTAACAATGCTGGATATATCCCATCTGGTACCGCTGCTTTTTCAGATTCGCACCTCCTAAACGTTAATGTCTCAAAAGTGTTAGAGAAAGTTGAATTTTGAACACTATAATTATCGAATCTACAGCAGAAAAGCACAAGTTCTATCAGTAATGCAGGATCGACAGTTGTTAGGAAATGTTCTCAACGAAATGTTTGATCACCGCAATTGAAACCATCCTAAAAAGCAGACTTCTGGGGTATTTTTTTTTAGAATCCAAATTTATATGGCGCTTGCACATTCCAGAGAATATACAAAGGCGCTGGTATCAGTATTTCCCTGGTCCCTGGATACTTAGTTGGCAAACCAGCACATCTTTGTGCAACTTTCTCTGCTCCCTGGAGAGTATCCCTAGTCATGCTGCTTTACACACACAACCACATACATTGAATGCCACACCATCCCACCAGGTATCCATTTATACTCCTGGGTAGAGAGAGGCAAATGTAAGTAAAGTGCCTTTCCCAAGGACACAAGCAATGCGACGAGCATCGGTCTTGAACTCCCGATCTCACGATCGAAAGTCAAATACCTTACACGGTGCGCCACACGCTCCTTTGAAATGGTATTTGATTTGAAGGCAGTATTTCATTTTCAAATTGCATTGAAGCACAGGTTTTGATTAGGGTAGGCCTTATTTTTAATCTACTGTTGCAATACATCAATTTTGACAAAATTTTATGTAAGCAGTTACAAACTCAGTGGTCCCTTCAATGTCATTGGCCGATGTAGGATATATTTTCTGGGGGAGTGGGGCGCTAAGCTATCCGACAGGGGGGTGGGGCTGAGTGAGATAAGGATGATTTTGGCATGCAGTGCCATCCAAGGGCCATAGGCCTGATCCGGGGGAGGGGTGTCCCTCCTTAATGAAGTTTTTTTTTTTTTTAAGCAGGAACCTTTGGATGGCTGGAAATGGCACTCTCAGACTTGAAAAATACATTTAAATGTAAAGTTGATAAAATAAAATTGTTACTATACTCTCTGGCCAGTGGGGGCTTGACCTGTCCGATGGGTGCGGGGACCTTTCCCCCGATGGTACCACCACTCGTACGTGACCAATTTCCTCGCCATACAGACATATCTTGACTTCCCCTCGTTCCAGTTGCCTCCTGTAGACAGCTAACATGTAGATGAGATTAGCGGAGTTATCTATAGGCATTTTTTTTGAAGTGTAAACAATGATCAAGGATGTTATTGTTTCGGGTTCCCAAAGTAACATGTTGATAACAATTTGGCAGTATTGACCTTACTGATATCTTTATTTAGCACCCAATTTGTTACCTTATTTCTTACCTTGCATATACAGGTATTAGAATGGATGAGTTTAAAATACCAGGTTGGTAACACTGCATGAAATTAATGAGTGCAAAATGCAAGGTTTTTTACTTTAGTGCTACAGAAACTTCCTTTCATTATATTGAAAGTTTTGTGCAAAAGATTAATAATATGATGATGAGTTGAATAAGGAAATTACAAAAAAGAAATGAGACTCAACACGGTTACTGCTTGTGACATTAGTATATTCAGTTGCTCTTAGATGGATAAAATTTACAAGCGTAAATGATGCAATATGTAAAAATTCAGATGCTGAATAAAATCTACTCTTGCTCTACTTTAAAAAAAATGAATTTAATAATTAATAGATGGATAAAATTTACAAGCATTACCATCAATATGCAATAAGCAAATACAGTTGAACTTGCCCAAGTCGAATCCAAAATGGAATTGAAAAATTGTTCAATTTTGGATAAAGTTTAAATTACAGATCATTAATTAATGAAAAACATACATTTGGTATATAAAATAAGACTGACTTTGAAATATTTTGAGGCAAATTCGACTTGGGCAAGATTAACTGTATTACAAATGCTAAATATATGTAAATAAATCCACTCTTTGCTCTATATAACAGAAGATCTGATCAATCTGTTGTAGACTCATATAGTCACAAAATTCACTCCCAATTTAATAATTGATTAAAACAACATTACTATCAATTACGATGTTCAGCCTAAGCTGTAAGATGAGGAATAATACTAGCAAATGTACTGTAAGAAGGCAGAGCAACTGACAATGCATGATCTTGTTTGAGATGATCCCTGGGATACATCTACAATGCTCTCATAAAACTGACATTAAAGCGTGTATAAATATTAACAATCTATAATGAACATAGATCTGACAAATCTGAATCAAATGGTTCTAAGCATTTTACGACAATGTCCTTTACACACAAGTTCAATGTATGCACAAAGGTCAATTGATCATCATAGCTTAATTAGCATAATTACAAATACCTTATATCTGATTCATTCAAAGTTGGACCTGGGACAGTGTCATAATCAAATCATATCATTTTAAAACAAACATGTAATAAATATATGAACAAGGTTTAAAAAAATTGTAGAGGATTTATCTGCCTACTGTTGGTTTGTTTATTTTTTAGAGGTATAATATAGAGGTAGCATTCAGATTCCTGCATTAACTCAAAATAAACTAACCTCCAAATAACTTGCCAATAGGTAGCCAGTGAATTAATCTCACTTAAAATGAATCCCTAAAAATAGTAAATGTGTATGTATACTGCATAAGGCTATGCGCCACATCACAATCAATGTAGAGATTACCAAAAGGGATTCAGACTTGATATCTCAATCATGTCAGCGAATGACAGAACATTGTCTTACAATCTTGTAATCCTCTGTATTACTACAAATTCTTTATATTTTTAATCAAGCTACTTTTACATAAATGGTAAACATAATGATTGTGAATAATAATTGGGTAAATATTTATCTCAAGACAATAATACAATAGAGATATTTTTAAGTAAGTATTCTTAACAAGCTTATTTATATTAAACAACTTTGAGAAATTCATCACAGTGGTTACCTTTTAATTATACTTTTTGAATTTACAACATTCTTTTCTCACATTAGTGAGATGCACACAGGTAAATTCATAACAAAATTTTTGTTGTATTTTGATTTTTTTTTAAACAGGCCTCTTGAGGTCAGCATTGCATGCACTTAGAGCCACCCTCTTGAAAGATTGTCAAATAAATAAATGTATAAATTTTGTGTAGTAGCTGAGCTGAATCCCTGCTTGTGTACATTAGCTGAACTGAAGCATTGCTTGTCTGCAGTAGTTGAGCTGAATAACTACTTGTGTGCAACAGCTGAGATGAAGCACTGCTTGTGTGCAGTAGCTGAGCTGAATCTCTTCTTGGGGATTAACTGACAATATACAAATTCTGATATAAATTAATCTAATTTGAATATTTGAAGTGTACAATGATTTTAAAAATTTTATCCACCTGTTTCAAACCTAATTATTGTTTATTAATTTACAAAATTTAAGTTTATCCACCAGTACCATATATAACTTATTTATAATTAAAGATTTCATATTTTAAAAAATGAAACCGACATTGTATATATATTTCCTGCACCTTTGTTTAATCATAACTTTACAGTATAAGCGATTTATTGTATGCAACAAACTAAAATTCATCAAGCCCCATGTCTGGGTGAGTTATATCAGCAACTCATCTAGAAGAAATAAGCTGTCGTGTTATTTTTAAAAAGTAAACTGCAAAGGCCATGCAAAATGGAGTAGTCACAAGAGAAATAATACCAAGCATACATAATTGGCTCAGTTTCCTATGTACAGATTATCAAAACTTCTCAAAAGCAAGATCGCTGGCATCACATCTGTTCGTGCTTGGTCAAAACTTTTCATTTTTGATATATGTCAGTCATTCAGTTAATATTAAGATGCCTCTGATTATAGTGAAATGATGACTAGTTACTTTGTGCATTGCGTGGTACATAATGTGCATATGTATCATATACATCATCAGGGGTCACTAAAGGGTGGGCATGTAAACAATTACAGATAAAACAAAATCTCTGTTAACACAAACCCCCTCTTATGCTTTGTTCTGACACAGTTCAGTATCGGCAATGGGCAACATGGCCCTAGACCTTAACATCCTCCCCCTTGGCAAGAGAATCAAGAGTTTTCTTAATACGCAGTGTGGTTAGCCTAGCAGCTCCGTTATGATACCAACATTCTTTCATGAGCTTTGCCATGATACGCATCGCCTGAGGAAGAGGAAACAAATAATAACATAAGATATAGTTTTGTTTTTTTTTTTAAAAACAATAATCCAAACTATTTTTATGAAAGTTTCACATTATGAAAAAAATTGAAATGGTTATTCTTTAAAACTTTTCATAGTAACGATAATTTTAGGTTGCACTGCATAACAAGGACACAAATGCCATAGTACAGTAACACTTCCTTTTACGAATGTCGATTTTACAAAGTCAGATTTTACGAATGATAATTTGCTCTTGATGATGTCATCGACTAAGTAATAATGTCAAAAAGTCTGATTGTGTATGTTTTTTTTAAGTGATAATGTATATTTTATTTTTTATTTTTTTTATTTTTCTTAATAAAATTAGGTTTGTTGTATATATTTATTAATAGTTCAATCCTTTTCTTCCATTTATGAAATAATGATCACTATATTAGTGTAATTCAGAGCAGTATAACCTAACCAGAACAGCGAACTACCAACGGAATAATGAGCACACATATTTACAATGATGAATAAAAAAAGCGTGTTGAATTTAACAATTTATTGACATCAAGAAGAATAGATAATCATGTAGTCATGTAAACAACTCAATTCAGCGATCTAAAAACTAGAAACACCACGATAGAAAGGACCATAAAACATACAAATGTTTTAATAAGAATGAAAACAATATTTTCACAAACAAAAGAATTCTAGCGATTACAATACTTTGGTTTTTATTGAAGGTAAATTTAGCTAGTCTAGCGTGGTAGACCACGCTGCTGCATTGTCGGTTCATGCTAGGCCTGGCCGTCATCAGCCTATCGGCGCTCAATGGCAGATGATAGTTAGGGCTAGTTAGTGGGAACTGACACCTGATCTAGTTTACAAATTTTATAATTTAAAAATACTGTAAAACCATTATCAAAACAATTAGCAATGAATACTTATCAGATTATTTGTTAAACATTTTGAAATTTGTGATAATAAATGTCTCTCCATACAAATTGTTTGAATGATCACATAAGACTTGCAACTGTTAATATGCTGAAATTAAATCTATGGAGAAGTTTGATATGGTAGTTGGATGACCTGTCATGTTATTGACTAGTTTGTATTTCAATTATTCTGTACAACTTATTCAACGTATATCTGACTAAGATAGAAACCTCCACTAACAGGTGGGAAAAAATACACATATAAACAAAATAAACATCATATTAATAGTATAAATTCACATCAATCTGTCTTCACATTTATATACTTCTGATACCCATAAACTCATAAAAAATTTAATCTGAGAATGGTGACAATTTCAGCTAATATATTTTAAACAAACCTCTCCATCATGTCTACTCAGCGAAAAAAAAAAAAAACATGTATCAAGTTCTTAGTGCACATAAAACTTGAAATGTTCATTGTACACAGAGACTAGAACTTTAAGATACACTGTTTGTTGACACTTACCTCAATTGAACTCCACCAATTTGGAATTGAGGGTCTGTACTGATCAACACAAACAACTTTCCTCATCAGATCAATGTTGGGATCTAACGGCACATACTCATAGTAAGGCAAACAGCAATCTTCAACAAGACCTACAACATAAAATCAAGTAACATGTTTGACAATGTGATTGTGAACTGTCATGAAATCTAAAAAAAAAGAAAACTGCAAAATATTAATAAATAGTTCATCTGAATGGATCAAAAAACTTTTAATAAAACACTGCTCAAAGCAATTCAGTTTTCCCTGATTTACAAATCTCTTACTACATTTTTGGGGAAGGTCTTATCTGTTAGCTTTCATTATTTGGTCTCTCCTGGGCTGTTGCAGATGCTATTACTGTATTACTATTTTTTTTTTTTCATATACTTAAATATTTATTTTGTATTTTTCTTGTTTGTGTTACCCAAACTATTATTTAAAAAAAAAAATGAATTAAAAATTGATTACCAGCCAATTTATAGGAATATGCAACATAATATAGGAATTTATATTAATTATACATCTTTAACAAGAAAAATATTTTATTATTCTAAATTTTTTGTGAATAATAAATGAAAACAATTTTTTAAATCTATGTATCAATAGAATTTGATACCTGAATATATCCTTCTAAAGAGCGGTTTTTATGATTTACATATATTTTAAGACAGTAGTGTATATATTAATTTTCTGTAAATTTTATAAGAATTTAAGTTGAAACAAAGTTGTAAAACTGGTATCACGAAAAAAAAAGTGAAAATTTAAGTGTTAATTTGAAATAGATATTATAATAATAGCTAGTTTGCCTGTCTAAGAATGGTTTACCTCCAATTGTGCACCGCCTGGCAATCTCCCAAAAGACCAGCCCCAAAGCGTACACATCGGCCCTCTTGAAACAGTCAAAATGGTGAATGTTAATAGACTCATCCAGGACCTCTGGAGCCATGTACCGCTTAGTCCCAACTCGATGGTTAGGAGCAATGTCTACTTCATCTGTTGCGGAGTTATGACGGACAGCCAGACCAAGGTCAGCAATAGCGCACTGACCGTTGCGCATCACTAGAATGTTTGTACTCTTCAAATCACGATGGGCTATAGCCGGTTTGCCTGCACGAGATAAATCAAATTACTGTCTATATATATATCTGACATAACTTACTGGTTGTATACTCATATGACTGTACGTTCTAAACCCAAGTATCCTTGTAGAAAAATTTGTAGTGTAAGTCAAATACACTACATCCCAATCACCACCGAAAGATGAGGCAACCACAGGAAGAAAACAGTCCAATAATTTTTTGAAGAATTTAATCTCATTCTTTATGTAAATATTTGTGATATATTTTTTAATTTCATTTTCTAGGAAAGTTACTAAGATAACTGGTAGTGGAATAAACTTGTAAAGCACATAATATATAATCGTCTCTATGTGCTAAAACAAAAATTACAAATTTTTTATCTCCATTGGTTCCAAGAAAATGATCTTAATAGTCATATATAATTATCATAAATGTTTAACCAATCAGTGGCCTTGTTAAGTAGACCATGTGCAAAGGTTATCATACCTTGCATTCCTATTATCTCCATATGCAAATGAGTTAAACCATTTGCAATTGACCAAGACATTTTGATCATGCCATTCACATTAATTGTATTTCGATTCAGGTAGTCATAGAGGGAACCATACTCATGGTAATCTGTGATCAGTAAAAGCTGAGTAGAAATACCACTATCTGAAAAAGGAAGACAAACAGTTTTAGAAAATTGGTAAATCACATAGAAGATAACATGAATAAGAATGACTAGATTACATGGTGAACCTGCATTATCCTATTCAAACCATAGTAAAAAATAAACTAATATCTTGCTTATATGATTTTAAGTTGTTATTGTGAAACCAAATACATTTGACATTTAAGAATTATTATATTGAGAATTATCACTGTGAGTTTTATCAATATATCTTACTCCCATATGTCTTCTTTTATAAATCTTATAATATGTTCTCAGTTACCCAAATTTACTGTTTACATTAATTTTAAGCACGACTTTTTATATTAATTTTATCTTACGACATATTTTTTTTAATTTCGAAAATTTCGTTTTTATCCTGTTTTTTCCCATTTTATCTCTTTTATCTCTTAGTCTTATCATTTTCAATATTTTTACAACAACCTTCACTAAATTTTTTAATGGGAATTTTAAGTGATTATACGTGTAAATATTAAATTTTTTTGCAATTTTTTAATGTTTTTAATTGTATTAAGTATTGTTTTATATTGTATTTGTATTGTATTGTATGTATGTTACTCTTAAGAACGCACTGCAAGAACGTGTGCCGCTGTTTTAAAAGTGTCGTTTCAAATGAAGTTATTATTAAGATGTGTCTGCATCTAACATTCTGTATGGATAATATTGGCTCAAATCACAACCATTATGAATGCTTTAATATGGACACCAAGAATAATAGTATGGGCTGTAGCCTATTCTGGAAAGTTGTCCTCATCTTTTAAAATGAATTTGGTAGGATATGAACCAGTAATGATTTACCAGTCTTTTGAGTACTGCCAGATTTTGAAATTTATAGGCCTGGCTCAATTCATACCATACTTTTCCAGCACAGGAGTAATTAGCTCCTGACACCAGGCTGTCGTCGCTCTGATTCACGGCGAGAAGAATCCGATGAGATAGGACTTTAGGCCTTAATACACAATTAACATGTACACTAATTCTCTTTTTGAGATTTAGAGTGTTGGGTGGTTTATGGTCATGAGAAAAATAGTGCAATCATAACAATCTTAAGCAAACAATGTACTGTACTCCATTCCATAATTATTGTAGGTACGTACTGCAGCTGAGTTAAGGGCTAGTAAGTTGTGAATTGGGTATTAGCCTATTTATAACTTTTATGTTTACTAAACCTTTCATGTAATATATTAATAACAATTTGATACCACACTGTTTTTCTGCTATACTTTATTTATATCTTCTTTATTCTGAGTATCCTGTTCAGTAGATATCTACAGTTCTCCCAGAGGGCCACGTTAAGCTCTTAAAAACTAAGTCTCATAATGAGACTGAGACTTTAGGAGTGCCGTTGTTTTCTGCCGGGCACTCCCTGCGTAGTACTATTGTCGCACGACCAATCTAACTCCGCTCCCCCTGAGCACTACACGACGCGATGCCGTTTGCTGATTGTCGGTGGCAGTCTTAGCAGATGTCATTAAGAACAATCTGTCGCGCACTCGTCATTGCGAGTGCCCGGCTTTAGTCTTGAGAAAAAGTCCAACCCGGGACCCTGGGACTGGAAGGCAAGCTTCTTAAACCACCAAGCTATTCAACTCAACTGGAATTCTGATGATCAGGGATAAATTACTAATATGTCACATTACACACCTTGTCAAATTAAACTACCAATTAAAAATGAGAGATGTAGATTGAAGGCACTAAACCAAATAATTCAGAGTGCTTCATTATCAATGTAATTACCTTTGTTGTCAGCTGCAATAAAACCCAAAATATTTTTGTGCCGCAGCATAACAGTTTGGTAAATCTCTGCTTCTCGGAACCATGACTTCTCCTCACGTGTTGAGAAGACTTTTACAGCAACTGCCTCATTACGCCAACTTCCCCGGTAGACCTCACCATAACGTCCTTTACCGATACACTCCTGTATAGTAATCTGCCGAGCAATCGTACGTTGGACAAGAAGAGGAAGTCCTATTGATGTCAAAATAAAAGGCAAATCGATGTATAGTTTTTACAATACAAACAAAAATTGAAATAAACTTAATAAACAATTGACAATGGATGTGGCTCATAATGCATTCTTGCCAATTTACAGAATGGTAAGCTCAGTGTTATACAGAGTCACTGAATATTAACCCTCTTGAGCCTGGATTATTTTTGCAGTGCAAACCCTCGAGTCCCGGATTCTTTTGCAGTGTAACAAGTTTTTATGCGTTTCTGAGTGTATGCCTTTCAGATTAATATTTTGGAACTTTCTGTATTTTTTACAAAAAAATGTTTCAAAAACAATGTTCCTTATAGAATAAGCTTCATATTTTTTGGATTTTTTTTCTAGGTGAAAAGTAGGTGTAAAAAAAAAGAGTGCTAATAAAAAAATAACAAAAAAATGCCTATAGGGAATAGGCCTACAGTACAAGCCTAGCCTTGGCCTAAATCGTCTGCAAAAAATTGTGAAAAAAGAACAATTAGCAAAATATACTAATAACAAAATAATAAAAACATTCATAATAGACATTGTTATATTATTTGCACAAACATGCATATAAATTTATAAGCACAAGCTTTCCATTCCAATCTGTTGACTATACCGTATCCTCTCTAGGCCTAGGTCCATAATCAATTCATCAACATCACCACCACCGTCATCAAGTTTTCAAATCAACATTTCCAAAAAAATTTCACACAGCATGATATCAGTTTTTCTTTTAATTCCAAAATAAACAAGCTTGACGCATGTGTACAAAAAATTTCAAAAGTTTTGGAGCCAGAATATACACAGAACAGCGATTTGAAAACAGCCTATTTTTCGTTAGTAAATTTTGACTGCGGTTGAAGTTGGGTAGCCTCAACTTCAAATCCATTTTGATTGGAGTTGAAGTTGGGATCAAGAGGGTTAAGTCATACTGACAGATAGATGTGTGTGGCTGCCACTAATAGCAATAGTAATCAAAATTACGGATTTAAAGCTCAAAATCTTAAAACACAACAATATTCTATATTCATTTCCCATAAAAAAAAAATAATTAAGTTAATTTTTTAAACGTTCCTTCATACGCATTATATATTGTCAAAACGTTTCATACATTTAAAAAGTTTCAAATGGTCTTTGATCTGTTATGCATTAAAAACACAATCAATTGAGAATCTATAATTGTCATAGTTATTAATATCCAAGATAGAAACTGGACCTATGACTACAGTAGTATGAAAGTCACAGTTTGATACTGGACATATAACTACTATAAAAGAGTCACAGTTTGATTCAAGTTTGATAATTCTTCTCGCGTATGCATTGTAAATCATATTGATTTACAAATTACAGTTTGATATTAATATCTACATAATGGAACGCAGGGGTTTACTCATTCTCTGACAATGTTCTAACCTGCGATCAAAGACAGGATATCAAAGGTTTCCATACAGACGTCTAGCATGATGTCAGTTTTTTTTAAATTCCAAAATAAACAAGCTTGACGCATGTGTACAAAAAATTTCAAAAGTTTTGGAGCCAGAATATACTGTACACAGAACAGCGATTTGAAAACAGCCTATTTTTCATTAATAAATTTCGACTACAGTTGAAGTTGGGTAGCCTCAACTTCAAATCCATTTTGATTGGAGTCGAAGTTGGGATCAAGAGGGTTAAGTCATACTGACAGATAGATGTGTGTGGCTGCCACTAATAGCAATAGTAATCAAAATTTCAGATTTAAAGCTCAAAATCTTAAAACACAACAATATTCTTATATTCATTTCCCATAAAAAAAAAAAAAAATTAAGTTAATTTTTTAAAAATTCCTTCATACGCATTATATATTGTCAAAACGTTTCATACATTTAAAAAGTTTCAAATGGTCTTTGATCTGTTATGCATTAAAAACACAATGAATTGAGAATCTATAATTGTCATAGTTATTAATATCCAAGATAGAAACTGGACCTATGACTACAGTAGTATGAAAGTCACAGTTTGATACTGGACATATAACTACTATAAAAGAGTCACAGTTTGATTCAAGTTTGATAATTCTTCTCACGTATGCATTGTAAATCATATTGATTTACAAATTACAGTTTGATATTAATATCTACATAATGGAACGCAGGGGTTTACTCATTCTCTGACAATGTTCTAACCTGCGATCAAAGCATTGCGTGGAGCTTTGCGTTTAAATCCCCACGCTGATGTTAAAGTGTACTGTAGGCCTATAAATGCCTTACTCGATACCATTGTCACCACGTTAATAATTAGAGGGTGATTGGGTTTCATATAGTTACCGGCCCAGTAATTAAATAAGGGGAGCTGGCGAGGTGATCGCTGGCATTCTGATGCGAGGGGGTGGGCGTTGGTAATAGTGTTACGTCACGATACCATGTGATGCTACTCCGTTGCTATCCGACGCCATTTTCCCACTGACAAACCATTGATCCCAATTTCTAACGTAATTATTAAGAAGCTGTCTCTTATACACATCTAGATGTGTATAAGAGACAGGTTATTAATATCCAAGATAGAAACTGGACCTATGACTAGTATGAAAGTCACAGTTTGATATTGGACATATAACTACTATAAAAGAGTCACAGTTTGATTCAAGTTTGATAATTCTTCTCGCATATGCATTGTAAATCATATTGATTTACAAATTACAGTTTGATATTAATATCTACATAATGAAACGCAGGGGTTTACTCATTCTCTGACAATGTTCTAACCTGCGATCAAAGACAGGATATCGAAGGTTTCCATACAGACGTCTAGACAACGTGTTGACGTAAGCACTAACTAGTAAATCTTAAATAACCAACTCACATACAGGATTCTTGAAATGCTACTGCAACAGTCATAAATTTACATAAATTGAAAAAAATTAGATTTAGTTGGTACTGTATGTTTTTGTTTGTAGAATAGTTGCGCAGAGAAAAATGGTACCAATATTTACTGCAGCTAAGACACTAACACAAATAATACTATGAGAAAATGTTTGAATATTGTACAGTATGTCTAATAAATAATAATACCCACAATTTGGGTTGAATAACACATATGTTAATACCGTAGGCTACCGTCTTCTTGATTTTTTTTCTCTATCCAACACTTAAGACTAATAAATCATTTTCCCAAGTTCATTATAGAGCCAACTCTAATAGCTATACACTCAACAAATTAATATGTTGAATATCTTGACCAGACGGAAGGTTGTGGTAAATGCTAATTATAGTGTATGGAAATTTTATGATTATGTACAGACATCCTACTCACTGAAATGAAGACAACAGTTTTATCTACAGTATATAGTTAAAGTGATAATAATTAAAAACAATAAAATAAAACTTTACAATTAATTATTATTAATATTATGTCCTTATTATACAATCCCTATAGTGCCCCGGTATTCAACCTACGACCCGCCAAAAAATTTGATCTGGCCCGCTACATTGCTCAAAAATAAATTATTTTCCTGGTCAATTTTCAGTTATTATTGCAAAAGAATTTGCTAAAGAAGTGGAGATGACATTCACATGAGTAAAATGTGTTACTTAATCTCAGAACTTAGACATACAGGAAAACGTTGGAATTAATAGGAATATACTGTAATGACCCATACATTTTTGAAGAGAATAGGAATGCCACTGTCACCCAGTCTGGCAATGTTAACAAGTGTCATGGCTTTTTCCAAGTGCAGTACTATCTACAGTAGTGGCCAGCAGCTTAAAAAGGTTAAATACCCGGGCTATAGTGTACCTACCCAAATAATTTTAAAGTGGAAATAAAAATGGTAATTTTATGCACTGATGTATTGTTATTACTGGTACATATTTTGTCAAAATTACCAGTCATGAAATGTTCCTTAACAATGTTTAAAGGGAGCTCACCTGACAATCCATATTGGTATTCACTTAAAATTTATAAAAATATTATTGGTAAATATTACACAATATATCAATAACATCTAACAATACTCTGGAATTAGACCTTTGAAAAACAACTACCTGTAGAACATAACTTTACTAATTGAGACAGATCTGCAATACCGCAATATTGCGGTAAGCATGCTGACATGGGTTTGTCTGAAAGGGTCGATACGCCAATTACCCCGGCTTACTTTAGACCATCTCTTAATATTTCAGTAACGGTTACTGGCTTGCTCTGTTTAAAAGGGCTATAATACCGCCATTGGAAAGGGGCAACTTGATATTGTGGCAATCACGCCGGAGTTTGCACTTAACAAGGAGGTTAAAGTTTAAAACAATTGAGCGCTGTAGTATTAACATTTTCACTTCAACATGAAACTTCTAGATCAAAAATATTATATTGATCTTTTTCTTGGGGGGGGGGGGGGATAATTTTCTTTTGTTTAACCAGTGAAATAAATGTTACAAACATGCAACGTTAAGATAAAATACATAAATATGTATGTAGTATGTAATTACGTTAAGATATTATATTGATCGTTTTAGAAGCGATAAGAACCTAGCACACTTAGCCTAGCCCATGGCCAGCAGCTAGCTAGCAGGTAAACACGTGCGAGTAGCTCACTTTTCTCGCACTGGTAACGCTTGTTAGATCGTATCTTGTAATAATGTTTGTCATGTTTTGGAAGAATGGAGCTGTTGTACTTTGTAAAATTCTGTCGCATTTTATAATACTTCAAATGACTATTTTCTTACAACCTTTTGCAGTTTTTGAGGAATTAAATAAAAACTTGTGTTAATGATTGTTTGGTGTGAATACCAAGAGATTAAAGGTCCCACTGTCTGTCATATTTTCGAATCATTTTAAACACTGTACTCTGTTCTTTGATAATGCTACAGTGTTTTTGATGGATTAAATAAAATATTGGTGTGGATGTGTGATAAAGATGTCAAAAGTCACATGAAAAATAATATTTTTCATTTAATGTATAATAAACCAGCGTTGTATGATAGGCCTACTATGCAGCATTTTAGAAGGAAGCGAGTTATCTGTTAATAACGATAACACGCAAGGAGCAGGATTTGAAGGTCAGAGGTCATACAGTGTTACATCACGTTACCACGTGTTACTACTCTGTTGCTATTGGTGACACAAAATGTGTTTAACCAACGCCATTTTCTCCACCACAAACCATTGATCCCAATTTCTAACGTAATTATTAAGAAGTTGTATCTTAACTTTTCTTTGTAAATGTTAATTGATGATTAAATGTGTGTTCAATAACTAATATAATGCGAACTTTTTGTGTTTTTAGTACATTTTGATGGTAAATTATTAGGTTTTAAAATTCCCATTCCAGAAAGTTTATTCTAAACCATTAAGATTATGAAGTCATTCAGGCGTAATGAACGGTAACCAACGTCCACAGGGCGCCATCTGGTGTTGTGACGACACACAACTGTAGTACTCTATAGGGCTCATTTGAAAAAAAATACTGCATTTTTAAATGTGAATGGCAACTACAAGGAGAATTTTCAAGGTCAGAAATCACTGTGTATAATTTTGAAAATGTTAATAATTAGAAAAATTACCATTTTTTTGTATTTGTACACATCTCAAAACAGTGTGATGATGTAATATCACAAACCAACAGCAATCATCCCCACAAAAATCTCTAAAGTTTCATTAGAACTTTGGCTCCGTGGCAAGTTTACAACAGTAACCATGCAAGTAATAATAACTGTATGTAATTGGGAGATGTGCATAAATATTTTGAGTTGTAATGGACTAAACAAATCTTTTTAAAGCCAGCACTAGATGGGCAACACAAAAATGTTTTTACCTTACTTAACCTACACATATTTGCACCTGATATTAATGTCATTTATGTCCATAAAAAGCATTAAGAATGTAAACTATTATTATTAAACATGTTAAAGGCTGTATGAGATACAGCATGTGTTTGTACAGTACAGTACTGTAGCCACATGTCCATCACAATAGGATGAATACAAACTTTTAGACTGCCAGTTTCAATTTTATTTAATACAAAATAAAACATATGTAATAACTAATAAAATAAAAGAAAATAAAAGATAACTCACCAGAGCCAGATCCTGGAAGAGTGGGATCAATGATATCTATTAAGCTTGGACCTCCATCTAAAAATGGATGGGGGACTTCTGCGCTGTTAATCATAATCCTGGGCAAGTTATGGTGAAAATGACGGGCGACTAATATAATCATGATGAGGATACACACAAAACATATCGGCACAGCAATAATGGCGGCAAGCTCTAAGGTGTCAAACTTATTCCCTGTTCCATCTTCATTAGAATCTAATAATTAATTGGAAATACTTTTGAATGAGAATAACATACATTTTGAACACTTTGAAAATCACTAATGTTCAATAGTCAATGGTCATAGTACTTTCATGTACCTGTAACTGAAATACCACAGTTTTGCATATATAATATTCATTTGTCTTAAATATTTGTAAAAAATATCCCTTTCCCACAGATACAATAGAGCATGGTTTTCAAAGTAGAAAAATTGTGTATACCGTAGCACTTCGCACTCCAGTGTTCAGGGTCAACTGAATTATACATCTTGTCAAGATGGTGCAAATGTTGCATCTAGGTAGAAGTGCGATAGTGCCACCAATGTGTTATAAATTATTATATTATTATTAATTTACATCTTCATCAAAATCTGTCATAGCACACTAAAAAATGAAAACTTTGTACTACGATATCACTGGACAACAAGCAACGCTGATTTCATCTATAAAAAGTTGAAAAATCATGCACTAAAACATCATTTTGGTCTATAGAGAATTAAATATCAATGCGCCTGGATTGGATGCTATATTAAAATATTGAGTTGGAAAAGGACTTTAGGATTAAATTAGTGTTATAACTTTGGCAATTTAGTGGGATTCCTCAAAATTAAACCATTTATCAATTATTTAACTGTTGATTGACAGATATACATAATTAATAATTGATCTATTATTTAATAGATTGAATTGGTGAAAAATATTTATTGGTCCGCACGAAGCGCTGACCCAGAGCCTCACTGCTGTTCTTCTTCTTGCTACTAAAACTTTAAAAACTTTAAAAGTGTCCAGCTTCGCCAATTTTGAACGGATGTGCATGAAACTTTGTACACATAAACTACAGGTCCACAAACGTTCATTGCCCTTTTTTTAAGTTTGTCCCCAGGGTTCCCCCTACACCTACAAAACAAAACAGAGGATTCAAACAATAAAAGCGTCCAGTTTTGAACGAACATGCAGGAAATTTTGTACACATATTTAATTAGAGGTGATTTCGTTCATCGCCCTTTTTTTAAGTTTGACCCCATGGTTCTCCGACACCTACAAAAAAAAACAGGGGTTTCAAACATTCAAAGCGTCCAGCGTCAACAGTTTTAAACATAGGTGCATGAAATTTTGTATACATAAACTAGAGGCGATTTCCAAAAAAATGTTCCTCGCCCTTTTTTTAAGTTTGACCCCAGGGTTCCCTCTACACCTACAAAACAAAACGGGTTTCAGCAAGGACTGTACATTACTGCCATTTACCACTACTGTAATAGTGCATGTCGCATGAATGGCGCGGTCGGTTAAGGACGTGTTCTAAACTTAAGGTCGCAATTCGAATCCCATATTTAGCAAGTTTGAATCACATATTTAATTTTTTTTTTATTTTGTCAAACAGTTCTTCATGTTCATTAAAAAAGACCAAGGCGCGATTTGAACTCGCAACCTTCGGTTAAGGAGGTGTTCTAAAGAACTTAAGGTCGTCAGTTCGAAACGCATCTTGTATTAAATTTTTTTTTTCAATTTAAAATTTTTTTAACTTTGTACAAATGATCATTCTAAAATAATGTTTTTGTTTTCTTGTACAAATAAACATTCTAATTAATTAAAAATTACTGTAAATTATTTCCATTACCACTAACAGGGCACGTAGCATGAGTGGTGCGGAGGAAGTGTTCTCAAGAACTTACGGTCGTGAGTTTGAAATGTGTCTTGGTATTCAATTTTTTTTCAATTTATTTATTTATTTAAATTTAGAAAAAATGATCATTCTAAATAATGGTTTTTTTTTTGTTTTTTTTTTGTACAAACAAACATTCTAATTATTTAAAAATTTCTATCAAGTTAGCTCTTCCAAAAAAAACCCAATCTAATAACTTGTGGCTGTACCATATTTATGCATGAGGAACACTCAGACATTGTGAGTGTTCGCTCTTGTTTTAATTACCTATGTATGAAAATATCTATCCTGGTAATGGCAGGTTTTATGTTAGAAATATTCTGTTGAACAATTGTAATAAAATATTTACAAAAATTGATCATTTAAACAATTGAACTATTGTTACCTTTACACATTTGTTCACATAATTCTTTTGTTTTGAATCGATTGTCATTGCCTCCACATCCAGAATATGAAAATTGTACACAGCGTTTAGTTTCGGGTAAGTAAACATAGCGTACTGTTTCTATACCTTCGCATTTACCACTGTGTACTGGTTGGTTACAAACAACTGAAAGAGAATAAGATTGGCTTTATAAAAAGTTAATAATAAAAAAATTAATAATTACTATTTAATATATGTGGCGGTGACGATGCATGCGCAATGAGTAACAAAATGATGAAATAATCAAATATACCAATCATCGGGCCGTTCTCATAGTCGTTGTCAAGGAGAGCTTGGGTTTGTATACGTGAAAAAAACCTGATTTTAATTGGTGAAAATAAAGGCTATCACAATACTGTAGATTGACCAGTCATAGTCAAACTTATAAAATTAGCTTTATAATGATGCTAAACATGACATGGCTGGCTTTAAAACGTGGTCGGTAGTAAGGATGATTTCGCGAGTGTTTTATAGGGTAGACAAAATGTAATTTTTCAAACTTCCAGGTTATAGCGCATCTCCCTAAAATCATGATTTTGGGCATACAGTATTAAGATAAATAATAAAACCAGAGCCTTGCAGGTGTCAACATTCCTATGCATGATACATGACTTTATCAGAAAATATAAGGTTGGGTCAAATTTGTGGTGGTTTAACGTGAACAACTCAGGAGGAGTGAGTTTTTATGGTCCAAAATAGTGATTTTTGACCACATTGTTGATGTTTGATAGGCAAATTAAGTTAGTAGAATCAGAAAAAAAAAAAAATTTTTTTTTTTAAATTTTGTAGGCCTATGTAGGTATACAGTATTATTTTTATTTTACAGTACAGTAGAAACCCTCAATTACGAACCCCGATTTAACGAATTCCCGATTTTACAAACGTAAAATCAAGATGACGACGTCATGAAAAGTAAAGTGAAAAATTTTTAAAAATTTTTTTAATCTGCTCAAATTGTAACTGTTATTAGCATGCTTACAACACAACATACCATCAGTACTATGTAATTCTCAAGTGAAGGAGGCCCTCTAATGGGCCTCTTCAAACTCAGTGTTTATTATGGCTTCACACATGTGCATGCGACAAATTTTACTTCTCTTTTAATCATGGTTTCAAAGTCAACATAGTGCTTGATTGTTTTATTGAATGATCAATATATATAAGTATCTATTGAAGTTGTGTCGGAGTAAAATCCACAATCTAGGTATTTAAGAAGATTAAAAATGTCCAATTAAAAACAAATTTTTTGTAGGGCCTAGATTGGGATCAGAATGCTTAGAAACTGTTTACTCTAGGCATATGCCCCCTCAGACTTAGCTGCGTAGGCCTGTGGGCCTAGCCTAGGCCTAGTTTATGCCAGTGTAAGTAGTACCAGAGCAAATATATAGGAAGTTGGGTCAACCCTGATTTTACGAATACCCGCAATTACGAACGGTTCTGGCCACATGCTGTACGTAATTGTTTGCTGTGGTAGCGAAAATGTTGGCCTATAATAGGCCTAATTAATACAACAACTGTGATACTTTTATCACTATGGATTGTTTTCAACTTTCGCAGGAACGTATTCAGGGTGGCGCTGCTTCCCTCCTCTCCCCCTCCCCTCACCCCTTTGTACACAGTTTTAATACAAATTGGTTGCTTAAATCACTCAAACTCTTTAATAATGATCAACAAAACTTAAACTTATGAAGTAAACAGTTTGGGTCAAATGTCTGTGTAAAAAAAAAATATATATAGGCAAAAATAAAATAACAGTAAAAACAATATTTGGTTTTATTTCAAAATTATTATTTACTAAATGTAGTGTCAATAAACACAATACTTTGTATGTTAGTACTGTTTGTACTAGTATGCTAACTGACACCTTGATATTTTCCACAATGGCAATGTGGGCCAGGATGACAAGATTGAGTGCAATGGGAATAAAGTGATGGATGGCTAGTTAGTAAACTAATTCCAAGGGTACCATTAGGCATGTCACTGTCAGTAAAACAAAATGTCGGATGAAGTCCTGAAGATGTCTACACACACACATACATAAACACACACGCAAAAGTGAATACAATAGTTCCTATTGCATTACTGTACATGCATAGGAACTGTTGAGTAAATTTGATTATATAATATTTAAACTACATGATTCTGTTGAAAACTTGATTTGTGCAAATATTGACCTCTACCATTGTTTTGGCCTATGTTCCAAAACGGCCAACTAGACTAGAAAAAAAATCTGAAAAAAATGAGTTAGGGGGAGTGGAATGTTAGAAGCAATCCACATAGCCAGATATCCTAATTAACCCCTTCTGGTCACCCTAAGCCCTGTTGACACTTGATTTTACTCCTTGTATACAAATGGCGGCCATTTTGAAAAATGGCTGCCATGCGCATAAAATTGAAACTAAATAATCTACAGAAATGATTTTGGTGTCTAAACTCATAATTTCTAGACAGGCAACAATCTAGACATATAAAAACTACTGTCACTCAAGCCAGAATGGAACATAATTAAAAAATAGGTCTAAAAATAATCGCAAAATATACTTACTTAAAATGTACTAAAATAAGAATGAGTATATAAGCTAGTTTTCTATGTAATCCAGATAGATTTTTGAGCAAAAATAGATTTTATTTACTAATTTTATCCTTTTTACTGCGCTGAATTCAAAAAAGTTAGGTGCCATTTTTTTCCCAGAGTCATCGGCCGCCATTTTGAATTTCAAGATGGCTGACGCACCACATAAAACATGGTCATGATTGGTGTCAATGGAAAGCAGTGGCGGATCCAGGGGGTTCAAGGGGTTCGGACGAACCCCCCTCTGTAAAGAAACGTAACAAAATACTGTTGGTTCCTGGCTTACAAAACGCATTACCAACCGTTTCTCGCGCATTGTGCGGGACGGTCCCGCTTCAAAGTGATTTTGGATGTAACACGCATTTGGCGGAAACACATGCGTGATCTTAAATTTGTCACGCATTTAGTCCATGCATGACGACGAATAATCACGAATTCAGGGAAAATATATTTAAAATTAGAAGAAATTAGAAGAAAACTACCAAAAGTTAAAAGAAAAGAAGCTTGTTATTTTTATTATATTTAATCTTGAATGTTCTAATTTCTTAATTCATTTTTAAAAAAATATTTTAAATACAAAAGAATTTGTTTCTGTATTAGTTTCAACAAAGAAGTTTCTGTAATATGGGAGAATTTTTTTTTTCTTTTTTTTTTTTGTTCCTGTTTTCAAAATGTCTGTCTACTTTTAAATTTTGATTTTTAATTGTGTATAGAAGATGAATGTGCATGTTTTTTTGTACGCAAGCTTGTCTTTGAGTCGGGTTAACTCACTATAATCTAAAAAAAATATAATCTGCTATCAAAAAACTCCAAATATTAAGTTCTGGTTATATCTGCAAAAGCCTGGGAAGATTTTTAAATTTAGTAGACTCAAAATAGAGGTGGTTTGAGGCTTTACTTTACAGAATATAGCACTATTACGGTAGCTACTTGCCACCTGCTAATTTTCCCCACTGATTTTTTTTTTCTACCTGGAGAGCTATTCCAGGCCCAGGCTATTCCCCCCCCCCCCATTTTTTCGATGCATTGTTCCTCTTAGTTTTCCCTATTGATTTTTTTCCATCAGGTTAGTTTCATTATACTTTATAAGAGAGAACATATTTTTTTATTTTTATTTTGTGTTTTCTCTATATCAATTAATTATTGTCTAGTCATTGTAAGGTTACACTAAAAAAGTATGCCGATGATACAAAAGCGTTATTCAATCAATTGACTGATTGACTATTGATGCATTCGCAATACCGTATTGATGAAGCCCAAATACACATTGTAGAAACGTTTTGAAAGTTTAAATCCGGTTTTACATAAGAAATACAGGAAAGAAAACAGGATATCTTTATACAGTAACATGCTTCCTCTTTTGGAATTTCGATATCACCTTTTTCCTAGTCGTTCTATATACCCATATTTCATCCACAAAAAAACACTCTTACTATTTCTGTACTTCTACAGTACTTAGGAGGTCAATGCCCATTAGTGATTCTCTTCTACGATACGCCTACTACTGAAAGGTCCACTGATTAATCGCAGATGAGAAAGTATAATACATACTCCAAGTATTGAAATACACGCCATCGTGTTGGGATTCAATATTTCGACATTAATTATGTCATCATACGCCTACTTTTATTTCAAATTGTGTGTTACGGTTGGTAGCAAATACGCCTATATCATTAAATATATTTCATTTAATTAATGTTATTTAATTTGTTTATCAGAAAATTAGGTTAATTTATGTTTTATAAAGTATGGGTAGGCCTATTATATATATAGGCTTAGCCCAACTAGCATTTAATTAAATACATTAGAAACACTGTTTTGGCTCGACGTCGTAATAATTATGTACGAAAGTGTATTCTTCAGGCCTATCAGTTCATCGATCTATGGAAGAAAGAATCCAACTACTCAATAATGTTGGAATATAGAATACATGCCAAGTTGGAGATAGCTAGAGGCTTGAGATTTTAACAGGAAATAACACAATTGACATGAGTCGAGGGCCCGTCTAAGGGCCCCGAAAAATTTTGGGCTTAGATGCTCTCTGGGTACTCTGAATATCTCTAGTGCTGAAATTAAACCTTAAAAATGAGTACCTATAACAGGAACGATAGAATAATCTCACTACAATAATTATAATTACAATAATTATAATTACAATAATAATAATAATAATAATAATAATAATAAAAATAATAATAATAATAATAATTAATAATAATAATTTAATACTGGTTGCCTTTTTGCCCTTTAAACCTGTTTCATTTTGCTGTTATTGTGATGTGGGTCTATTTGTTGAAAAATGTTTAAATGTTGATTGTTTATATTTTTTTGCTTGAACCCACTACTTTTATAAAATTCAACCAATTTTGAGTGATGAATAAAGAATGATTTGATTTTATTTGAATCGGAGACCTACAGTACCGGCCAGTTGTATTGCAAAAATCCCAACGCGTTTTACCCGTTGTCGTTGCGTTGCGTTTGCGTTGAGTTGCATTGCGTTGAAATGAACGTTGAGAGTACATTGTTTATTTAACGATGTCGTGTTCGCGTGTCAATAATTGGTGATAGTTAATTC